TCGTTTACAATAAAATGGTCAGAATTGGTTTCATATGATCGGAATAAATACCTCAGATTGTTCTTTTCTCAAGAGCCTCGTTGCCATGCAGGCCGCTGAAGACCCTTACGTCGTAGAAAAGAGCTCAATGATTATAATTAGTGAAACGGAAACTGTACAATTCAGTTTAAATCAATTTATTACTTTGCTTACTGTTACTTTTGCGTTCTTAAGAGGCAATGTCGGAAAGTATCAAGAATCTCAAATCAGTTCTAAACTATTCGAATTTCGGCTAATATATACCACCAAAACAACCCTTTAGGTGAACTATTTGAAGAAATAAGATTAAGAAATCCTCAAGCGCTTTACATTTTAAGAAATTTGGAAAAGTTCAAAAATTCGAGAAAAATACATTTTTTTATTGGCGAAATTGCTGCAAATTTCAACAATTTTCAAGAAAGGAATACAAGCGCGCAAAAGCTCCTATTCGCTTGATGTTGCACATGCATTTACCAGTTACCCAAAGCTTTAAGACTGAGTAAAAATGTCTCGTAAAATAACTTTTGTAATATAGTTTTCTTCGTGAATTTTTCTCCCGCGCTCTACTATCCGAACGCCTGGAACAGGCTAGGGATTTACAGACATGAATTTAGAAGAATGAATGGCAGCTGAAACTGAAGCTTCATCAGCTGTGGAGAATTGCATTGTGACTAAGACAAGATAAAAACAATGAAAAACGTCTGTTTGTTTGAGTGGCGTTGCGTTCGAACTGGTCCCTCTCCTCGCAGAGGCATATTGGGGAGGGGAAGAAAGCGCGCGGGGGACAATTTCCCGCCTATTTTCTCCTCCCATATCACACCCGTGTCCTTTTTATTAGCCACGTACTGAATTTTACAAACGAAGTCTTTCTTAAAACGGAAGTGTGTTATGGAACAGCTTGCCTCTGGAGGTGCGGCAATTGACATCCCCTAGTTTGTTTAAGGGAAAATTAAGAGACATAAATTTCGATTGACAAATAACTTAATCAGCTATATTCAGTTTTTATACACGGCCTCCTTGAAAAGCAGGTGTTTTCTTTTCATCTTTATTATTTTAGTTTTTATCTTAGATTTTAGATTAGTTAGGAAGTTAGTTTTTCTATACTTGTATACCTGAAGGAAATACCGTGTTTAAATAAAGTTACCTTACCTTACCTCCTTGAAATACCAGCAGGGGCCTCTATGGGAAACAGAGACCTAAAGGACGGCCAGTTAAAAAGCTTATGGGTGGGGGGCGGAGGAAGTACATGCAAGGTAATATTAAACGAAAAAAAAATCATGCACGCCAATTAACCCTAAAAAATATTCATGCTATGGCCTAAAAAAAATTCATGTAAGGAATTTGATAACGAAAAAAATTCTTGCAGCTCGAAAATGCCTTCCCCCCCTCCCCCCACCCATACCTTTTTAATGGTCCGTCCCTAAATCCCCTTCTCCGGCGTCTTTGTCTGATTGTAGTGAAATTCTGAACCGAACACGTACCACAAACTCAATTTTCTGTCGTCCCGGCATGTTAGCAAGCAAGGTTGAAATTAACTGACGGTTCGTTAGAAATGTGGTTTTTAACTTCTCTGATCACAATTATCGCTGGGCGTAAATTGTCTGCAGTGCAGTGAAAAACTTTACCTTTTTTAGCTTGCGTGCTGTTTCTCATTGTATGCAAATTTTCTTGCTATTTCTTCAAGTTAGTTAATTATTCTACATTTAGTCTAAATCACACTGCTGATTCAACGGTTTATCACTTCTGAAGATGAATGTTGGAACATGTGAAACATCAAGTTGAAGTCTTTTTTAGTTCTTTCCAGAAAGACGTTTAAATTTCCTTATGTTTAGAGCCGCAGTTTGCTTTGTTTCTTCTTCAGCTAAGATGGTCAAAATCAAGAAAAATGTTGCCGAACAGCGACATTAAGGTTCGCGTCCACTTTGAATGCAGTAATCTGATACCGAGACCGGCTTCGAACCCTTAAGGCTGGTTTTCACTAGCGACGGAGTCGGAGTCGGAGTCGTAATCAGAAGCGTCGAGCTTATGATCTGGTGAAAACAGCGTTCCGATTCCGCTTACGACTCCGTCGCTTACGTTCCGCTTATGATCTAGTGAAAACCAGATTGTCGGAGTCGGAAGCAGAAGCAGAAGAACAAAACCAGTCACAAAGCGTGGGAACGTGCATTTTGATTGGCTTATCCTTCCGCTTCTGCTTCCGACTCCGACAATCTAGTTTTCACTAGATCATAAGCGGAACGTAAGCGACGGAGTCGTAAGCGGAGTCGGAAGAAAATGGAAACGTTCTGATTCTTCTGACTCCGATTCCGTCGCGCTTATGACTCCGCTTACGACTCCGATTTTTGATTTTCACCAGGTCATAAGCGCTCTTACGACTCCGCTTACGACTCCGACTCCGACTCCGTCGCTAGTGAAAACTAGCCTTTACGAGTATGATCGGCTCCTGCACGCAGAAAGTTATGATTGATAAATCGACTGTTAGAGGTTGCAGTCGTCGATCGAACTTTGTATTAATAATCCCACTAGTGATCAAAATCACGGGTCGAGGTGGAAATGAATCCGAATTGAGCCAAGGGAGTGGCGCGTGAGAGCTAAAAACCCTTGTCACATTTGTTTGACCGATCTCTGACTTACGCAAAAAGTGAAGTTGCATGCCACACGGCTTCTCAGCTCTCTTTCGGCTAGAACTGACGCAGGTTTTAGTCAGTAAGGAAGTTCGTTTTTGTGACTGTGTGATAAATACTAGGTCAGGTTGGCTACTACCTTATGGGCCAGATCAGTAAGTGCCAAGAGCGTGCGTGACCACAAACCAATCTCGCCCCAGTTGTTGAAAAGGTAGTCTGCGGGGAGCAGACGCTTTTTTCGGAGGGAGAGAGGCGACGACCGGAAATACGTCTGCGGCTCGCAGGCTATTCAAAAGGTGGATAGCGCTATTCACTGAATAAATTTCGATCCACTCGATAACGCAGTTGGAAAGCATAACACTTATCCGCTGAATAGCGATTTATCCGGTGGATAGCATCAAACGTTTGAGCAACCGGGGCCTGAAGGACATACCCCCCTCCTTTTTCCCTATCCCCTACCCCTTTCGACGCCTGCTACGCAGGCTAGAAGGACAAGAATTGGAAAGGACGCTTTTTTTCCCCGTATGAACTGAACTACAGTGGAACCTCGATTTAACGAACCTCTATTTAACAAAGTCCTCTGTATAACGAACGATTTTCTTCCGCCCCTCCAAAATTACAATAAAATGTGGAACATAACTTCAGTTTAACGAAATCCATGTTATAATGATCACAGTCCAGAAACGTAAAATATACCTCGGCATAAGAGGTCATTTAACGATTAAATGTCAACATGAGGCCGAAAGATAGCTAATGGATAGGATAAAATCTATGTGTACAGAAGTTTTTAACAACTTTTGTTCACCTGAGTGTTCTTGTACTCCTAGCCGGCCGTAGCTGTGTACAGCTCTGAACTGAGACAATAGCTTCGTATGCAAATGCTTTTATATAGAAACTGTTCAGATCCGGAAGTGCTGAGCGTTGGAAATTAATCATTAATTATACCTCGATAAAAGAAACATTTTTCTTGTTTTCCCAAAGATTCTTTAATCGAGGTTTTCGATACCAAAAACCCTCGATATAACGAACAAATCATGTTTCCCCAGTCCCTTAGCACTTTGTTAAATCGAGGTTCCCCTGTAACATTGTGGGTGTACGTAGCCTCCCCCGCAGGCGTTTTTAGGGGAGATCGTTTTTCTTGGGAGGGAAGAAATGCGATCTCCCCTGAAAACGCCTGCGGGGGAGGCTAGGGTGTACGTGACAGTAATACGGAATCAGTGATCCACCCCGGTTCTCCCCCGTCCCGGAGTTTTTCCTCTCCAAACGAAACAACTCCTAAACAAGCAACAATGCACAGATTTCCCCTCTTCCCAGTCTCCGGGGGGGGGGGGGGAAAAAAAGGGCCCCCGGGGGGAAAAAAAAGGTTCCTTTTGGGTTTTTTCCCGGAGCCCAAAGCCCCCCGAGAGGACCCCACAGTTTGGTGCGTCTATATCGCGGGTACTTGAAGGATAATTCCTTCCCTT